AGGAGATTCATGGAGTCTTGTTACAGTAGGCTCCCTTATGACTCATTTGTCTGCCTTTCTGGCTATGGGGAATGGCTTGAGTGGATTGGGCCATGAAGGAAAACAAGGGCGAGAAACTAGGTTTTATTCTGGGCAGTAGGCTCTAGACAGGCGTTTTATGCCAGACTATGGGAGAGAAAGAATAGTTCTTAAAAGAGGGAAATGAATTAGGGTTACAAATAACTCAAGAAGGACTTGTGTGTTAACCCTGTGGATGCTGTCATCACTGGAAGCACCTAACTGAAGTGTAGATCTTGCTCTCTGTGACTGCAGGTGTTGGAAAGTTGTTCTGTCATAGTGCAATGTTAATGACCCAGATTTTAAGAAATGGAGGCTGTTGAATGACACTTTGTGTCAATGTGGTTACCCATCCCTTAGGAACCCAATCAAGATTCACTACCTCGTTATGCTGAGGGCTCCCTGGAGTCCTTGGGTGGAAATGCTATTGGCTTACACTGGGCATGGGACTAATGTGAAACATTGCATTCAATTCAGCCAGATTGCAATGAACCACTTTTCAGTAAGCTGTGAAATTCTTGCTGGATTCTTCTCATGAATGGGACTTTGGTCCAACCACAAGAAACTCTCTGAAAAGAGAGACTCTCTCTGCCTTTTTCTAGGTCATCCAGCTAATTGCATTAATTTTAAACTGTGGCCCTGTTTGTAAAGAGGCAGCAAAGACAGTGATTGTTTTTTGCCAGCAAGATTTCTCGGTTTCTCTTTCAGGAGAGCCATCTGGACTCCAGTTCATATTTTCAGTGCCACTTCCTGGCATCTTACCTATCCCCACTGCTGGGTTTCTGTGGAAGTGAAAATCTTTGGCATGATTCATAATGTTAACATTAAACCCATCAGTGGTACTTGGGGCAACCCTGTATGTCTTTCCTTCTAATGCAAATTTTGTTTCCTTCCTTGCAGTCTGAAATATCAAAGCCATTGCACTCCAGCATTTCTTCAGAGAAATATCATTCTAAAAGGGCTGGAAACCACTCCACCTTCTAGTGCTGATATTCCAGGGTCACTCATTATCTCTTTTTTTTCTCCCTCAGTGGTCAAATAAGAGTCTGTAAAAGAGAAGGAAAGAATCCCAATATCTTTTGATGCCAACTATAAAAAATAAAGGTCAGTTGCATCCAGATATTTCCCTTCCTATCACATTCAAGGCCTCCCTTGCACAAGGACCTGGCCTTGCTCTCTGTTTCTGTGCTTGTAACCTACAATTACAGCCTCTGACCTCAGGCCACTCAAGAGAAATGAAGCAAGAAGGGACATCTTGCCTGAAATTTGGTAGCATTGAGGTTGGTGGCTTGGGGCCTTATCGGAATGTCTCAAAAACATTTCAGCTATTTAATAGCAGGAGCTGAGTTTCTGGGGTGGGTGTGAGAAATAAGACACTTTCCTATGAAAGTCAGCCTCTGAGGCAGAAGTCAGGAGGATGGGATGGATCATTTGCAGCATTATGCTGTAGGATTTGGTGGGGTTACCCAGAAGGAACTGGCCTCAAAACTGGCCCTGTGCTTCTTGCAGAAAGATTTCACCACTAACACTTTGCAGAATTACATCTACCAGTTATTGGCTGCCATTTCCTAGCAGAAGTAATTTATACTTTTTTTTTCCCTTCTAAAAAAAAAAAAAAAAAAAAAGAAAGAAAAGAAAAACCACTGCCTTTCTGAAGGAACATCAGAATGTTTAACCAATAAAGCATTTTCTTTCCTTCAGGGGAAAAAATTACCCTTCTATTTCATATAGATTTTATATGCATTTTAACCTTTCCAGGCTTACATTATAGAGCCTGCAGTCCTACTATGATAAAGCTGACTTGTATCCTGGAGTTAAGGATAATACTGTAAGACTAGGAGCTCTGAAGTCCTTGACTCATTTTGTTGAGGTTAATGAAGTGTGTCCCTTTAATGTCAGCTCAAGTATGGCTAATGGGGAAAAAATAATGTCAAAATTAAGCAAATTACAGGAAGAGTGACAGTAGCAATGTGAGGCTTATCCTCGAGACAAACATCAAAACCTGCTGTTTGTCATTTATGCTATCTGTTATTTCAAGTTGTTCTGAGATAAGTACATGACCAGATCAGATTTTTCTATACTCTGTCATAACAGGAGATCAAGCCTCCATGTAAATCTTTCATTTAAATACATACCCCTAACGATTGTAGTTCTATGAGTCCACTCAGGTACTGTGCTTATGAAAAGACAGGTCCAAATGAGGCATATTCATCAATGTGTGAAAACCTTGTTATCTAAAGTCTGTCTCATGTTAGCTTGTCCTTGTTATTGTTTCAGCAAGGACACAGAAGGGGTGATCTGGGTATTGGCATGTCCTATTTTTTGAGCACTCTGCAGGTTATATTCTTTCAACATACCTAAACTAGAGTATCTGTGTGAACAGAAAGGTTGTAAAATTAAATAGCATAAAGTAGAGTTCCCAACATTTCCCACAAAGCCTCAGCAGATGGCAGGAGTCAGGTTGCTCTCGATGCAACAAGAAAAAGATGATTGTCATTTTATTTTCCAAGAGATTCCTCCTTATTTTCAGTTTACAGTGAGCAAGTTGGATTTATCCAGGGCCTCTCTCTCTTGGATGAGTCATACACATGGATTTTTGTGCATACAGTTTTGGATTAATCAGCAATTTCACTTTGACTCACTCCCTTTCTGTTCTCTCCTCATTAAACATTCCGGCAAATGACTTTGGGTTCAATCCTGTGCTTGTCCAATCCCACAAATTTTGGCATTCTCTTAAATGGTGAAAAGATGAAACCCATTTCAGGCTGCAAACAAGTTAATTCAGAGAGAATGCTTATGAAGACCAAATTTAAAATGAACCATGTGGAAAAGCTGCCCAATCAGAATGGATAAGTCCCAGCAACAAATAGCCCATGAACAGGCTAGGGAAAAGGGCCATTTATTTGAATGACTTCACAGCTGGACTCACACAATATGTATATTTGAAGGCAAAAATGAAATACAAGTCATCCAAGAAACAACCTGCTATGAATCATTGACAAAGAAATGCATTTGCAACAAAGAGTCTCAAATAGCAAAATTTTTGCACTAGGCAGTGTGTTGCAGATTCAAATCTTACATGAGACCAATGCTTCTGAATGGACCAAGAATCTAAAACATAGAAAAAAAGCAACTCTAATACCTTTTAGCTGCATTGTATTTTGGGAAAAACTCAGGTATTAACTCTTTCCTTTATGTGATCTCTCTGACAATTTTTTTGAAATGGCACTTTTGCAAAACCAGTGTCCTTTTTTCTCCTTAGGAAAGGCCTGGGCAGCAGTGGCTGATGCAGTCCAAGAAGTGCAAGCAGAATGACTAAAATCCTGTACATAACTCTGAACACATAATCTAGACTCTAAGTCACTGAGCTGGCTTGCCAAAAGGACACAAATGAAAACCAACTTCAGTTCCTGCTGGCAGCAAGCTTGGAGGAAAGATGATCTGTTTAAGTCTAGTCTCTTTCCTTGGGCAGTCCCTTGTTCAAAATAAAAAAATTAAAATAATGTCACAGTGCCAATATGTTTACTGAAGAACCCTGCATGGCGCAAGCACTGTGCGGTCCAGGTGACTATGAGCCAGAGTCTGCACTTAGAGCCGTGGCAGGCTATTCCAAAATCTTGCTCTCCCTGCACACTCCTCTTCTAGAGTCTCTGTACTTCCACAGTCTTTTGTGATGCAGTAGGAATGGCCCTAATGACCCAAAAACCTCCAGTTTAGATTTCAACCAAATACATTTCTCCCAAGAAAGCAAAGGAAGGAGCCATTCAAAACCAGTTTATCCTTTTTAGTCCAGTTTTATAAAACAATCTATCTCTCTACCTTGTTCATCTTGAAGGAAGGTTAGGGTTGAGGCTGGATGTCATTTCAGGTCCATTTCTAAAATCTCATGGTCACTTGGGAGCCCAGTATACATTTATTTATTTATTTTGCACTGGGAAAATGCAACGTGTTTTTTCCCAATAGATTGAGGATTTTTCTGGGAATGAGAGGGTGTTGGGTTGAAATGTCACAGATTTCATGGTAAGTTACCCAGGTTTTCCTTGTTAGGGATATCTGATATATTTGTGTGTCTACGGAATATTTGCCATCCTCTTTTATGAGGCATTGAAGCCAGGCTTCCAAATGCTGAGTAAATTTTTATTCCTTTTTCATGCCCAGCTTAATTTATTCCATCAGCACTGGCTACATAAAGACATAAATCTTCTTATGGAACAGTACAAAACAACCAGCATCAATTTGTAATTTCTAATGATTGAGCTGCAACTGGCAGGTGGCCAGGAATTAGTGCATTTCATCTTTTCCTCAGGCTTCATATAATAAAGTGAAATAATTGGGGTAATCAATTTTGAGGAGAAAAAAAAAAAAAAAAGCTGCACCTGTTTTGCTCACAGCAGCAATTTGGAGACCGGAACCCACCAGTTGGACTACAACATCCTGGTCAGTAAGAGGCCATGATTTAGTTGAAAATAAAGAGAGGTCTTGAAGTTCACGGGGAAAGGAAACATCTTGAATGTTCAGCCATGTCTCCAGAGCTGCCCTCAGTCATTTGTCACTGGAGATCTGCTGAAGGACAAGATGAGGTTTCCAGCTCCATCAACTGGGTAGTGAGACAGGAAAAAAAAAAAAAAAAAAAAAAAAGAGAGAGAGAAGAATCAGGTGTCATTCTTTCTAGCTTTGATCTTCAAACTCTGTGTAGTGCTAAGAACTTCAGCTACTCCAAACATTTGCTTCAGTGGAGGGTGGGATTTTATGAATTCAGGATGTTTGAGGGAAGAGACATTTCTAAAATAAACATCTTCCTAACAAAAGTTCTCTTGAAGTAGTCTGGATTACCTTCTACCCTCTCCTCTTTCATGCCTCCCTATGAGAAACTACACCAGAGGGAACAAGCCTATATTGGGAGTGGCTTCCTCATGGTATTCAGACGGTGGCTGTGGGGAAGCAGTAGCTTGAAATAGAAGAGTCTCTGGTTAACATGCTGAGGAACTAATCCAGAATGGATGTGAGAACACATTCAGATCCTCCTCTCCTATACTGGCTGGCAGACTCAACAGGCTGCAGTAGACTTAGGTCTTTAATTCCTCTGGGTAAGTACATGCTATTGGGGGTGGGAAGGGTGTGCATGAGTCTCCTGCATCAGTTAGAGAGCTCACTACCTTTGAATGTACATTGCATATCCACCGCGTGAATTGGAGGTGCAACTGGCAGAGGTAACATGCTGTTACTGTACAAGAACAGATGGTTAAAGAGAGATGTGATACATTTACATCTCTTTGCTTGCCAGCAAAAATATACGGATATTCAAAATCCTGGCTCTTCTTCCTGGTTCTGGGAGGAAACGTGGCCTAAGCCAGTACACTCAACATGATCAATCACTTAGATTTAGTATGTAATCTTTCTAAAAGGCAGATTGTCGTAAAAGAGATCTTAGCTCTGTATACATCTCTTATAAAACCTTTCCATAAACTTATTTTTAAAATGTATAAATGGGTTCTTATCTGCCTCCTCAGGCGGTGATATGGGGCTCCCTTAAATAGAAAACTGCAAAAATGAAGAGTTGAGACTAATAACCATGACCTTCACTTAGGCTGGCAGCTCATTGCACTTTTTTTATCTCAGAGAACAAACACTGCTGTGACCACCTATATTGCTGTTGTTTGCAGTTATGTCTTTCTGTTTAGGGTTTCAACTTATCCGCCTGCCACATAAGAAATTTACAGAAACGTTTTGGACACAATGTTCAGAGATTTTAATGTCTGGGTGACATTCAATTTTTATAAACTTTAAGGACCATAAGGACATTGCCATATCCAGGGGTTTAACCCCAACATAACAGCGCCTTCCTCTTCCCCAGCTCATTCCCTCTCAAGTTTCTTCCTGAAAGCATTAAGATTTCAGACTGTTTCAAGAAAAACAGTTAGGGAAAAAATGTCTGGTTTAGAAGAGTAATTTATTTTCCTTCATTTCATTTTCAGAAATGACCAGACATAATGTTAAAACATTAATTAAAAAAAAAAAAAAAAAGGAAAACCAAAAGGAAAACCAGCCTGAGTCACAGCATAAACATGGAAAGTTTCAGTCCAAATGATTAAAATTTGACAAAGTAATAAATCCATGAAAAGAAGACCTTACACTGGAGAGTGTTAAGAAAAGTTTAACACCCATATTGTTATTCTCAGAGTTAATTACATAATGCATTAATAAATGGGTAGAGGTTGTTATTCACATAGGTGTGTTTGGCCAGTACTGCACTTAATGCCCCTTAGGAATTCACTTTCTTACAGCAGCTGCTGGAAGAAATGCTATCTGCTGGGCAGACACTGCTGTGTTGTTTGGAATTGTAAGAAAGGAGTAAGATCCCATGTAAGGTTATGAACCCCTTTTCACCTTGTGTTATGCATCATCAATCTTTAAACATGATGTTCCTGTTCGTAGTCAAGCAAATACCATACTGCTTTAAAAGTTTCTTAAAAAAATAATCATCAGACCAGTTATAAAGGTAGTGAACAGAGAAGCCAATTCATTGTAATAAGCTCAAATGAGAGATAATGATCTAAATACCTCTACATTTTAGGAAAATGTGCACCTGGAATCTACCCAGGGCTTTCACAATGGGCTGAACCAGCTCCTTCAGACTCTGGGAAAGTTCAGACCCACATTCCCACTCCCTAGCTCGGAACCATCTCAGCTTTGATCTTGTATATATTTCATCAAGTTGCACACCACTGGTTCCCAATTGTGGCTCAGGTCAATTGCGTCATTTAAGGAAAGTGTTACAGAAGGTGTGGGGAAAACAAACATTTTCAGTCCACACTCTCTACAAACATCCAGCCCCCCCCCCCCCCAAAAAAAAAAAAAAAAAAATAAGGGTAAAGAAAAGAAGAAAAGAAAGAGGGAAAGGGGGAGGGAGGAGGCAGCATGTGATATCATGTGAACCATTTTCAACCAAGCCGTGTTGCTGCAAGGGTGAAAAAATGCTGCCTTCTTAAGATCTATTCATTCTCAGCCAGAAGTTATGGGCCCAAAGAGGGGATTTCCCAATGAAATTCTGTGTCTTGTATTATGCAGGAAGTAAGACCCCATGAGTTTTAATGGTCACTGAAAACTTTAAAGACATTTCAGCATGCTTGCAAGATACACACATAGTTTTACTGAGCAGGCCACTCCAACCTACATTCTGGCAGCTGGATAATTTCCATTGGCCTCACATTTGCTTGAGTGAAAATGAAGATTTGGGCTTCTGATTCCCAGTTCAGACTAGAACCAGCTTGAGTCTGTGGTGTTGTTTCCAACAACATATTTTTTTGGTTCTTTCAATGAGTTCAGCCCACATACTGGTGATTTGGAAAAATGAGCCAGAACAAATGGCCCAGCTTGGGAGTGTTTTATAAGTACTGATATGACACACAGGAACAGGAGTTTACATGCCTGGAGAAGCATTAGCACCATAAGAGATCTTCCAGCAAATTTGCCTTCTCTCTCTTCAGGGCACTGTGATTATGTTTCATGGGGCTCCTGACAAGACCTCTAAATTGGCCAGTTAACCTAGACATAATCCCACCAGAAAAACAAACAAACAAACAAACAAAAATAAATCCATTAAATTTTAGAATTCAAATATTTCACATTTTGAACTCAAAAGAAGGAAAAAGAGTTCAAAGAAGGGATTTTTAGAACCATCCACCCAACTTGTTATGTCATTTCAAGAAATACTTTAGGTCATTGTTTTCAATAGACAACAGAGGAGATGGACCCTTCACTGGTAAGCACTGATCACTCTCTGTCTGTGCTGTGCTTCTGTTTCTGCAAATGAGGCCATGCATGCTTACTAACATCTAAGGAGCTTGTGGAGCTGCACTGGGAAGGGCCACAGCTGAGCAGAGCTCTTCTTCCTCGTTTCATTCATCTGGATCCCATCATAGAACATACTGTGGGCAGTATGCTCCGTGTGTTGGTATTTCAAAGGAAGGTAGCCCTACATTCATAGTACAACCCAGCTCTAATGACTCCTTGGTAAAAAAGCAATGGGAGTTTCTTAGTGGTAAACAGCATTAATCACAATTTCCCATCGGTGCAGACTATTATGAAGCGATTAAAGACTGTTACAAAGAAGGAGGGAGGGTGTCATGGGGGTGGTATTTGTTTTGACAACCATTCATTTCCCAAAATCTCTGGGAACCATGTTCCAGGTTTAAGTACATGGAAATCTCTGAGGTCAAAGGACTGAGGCAAAATATTAATAGTTTCTCACTCCCTTGTGTTACAATCTTCTTTCTCTGTCTCCATTAGCCAGCGTCAAAAAGTGACACTGTTAAGGGTCTTTCATAGACCCTTACCTTTCCCCCAGGAGGTTGTGTCTGTCTACTGCTGGGACCTCACAGCCCATGGGAAGCTTTTGGAATTTGAGTAAGCAAATGGTTTCTTCAAAATTTGTTTGCCCAAGTGCATTTAATTCTTTTGGCTTTGGTACAATCTTGTATCACTGCTGTCATTCCTCTCTTACCTGATATAAACATTTTGAGACAGTTTCTTTGTCTAATAAAATGCCTACAGACACTGCAGGTTGTTTTGTTCATGCCTGGCAAGTCTCCAACAGCTAACCCATGTCCTGCTCTTTTTCCAGGAACCTTCCTCAAATAAAATTAATTGTTGCTTAGGTGTACTTTTGTCATCAAGCCAAAACTATAGGGATCAGAGCCAATTAATGATCAGAAGTAAACAGAGCCACGGTGATAATATTAAGTTCATTCCACCGTTGTTTGGTACTTCCTGGTTGCCACAATATGGAGTCAGGGATTTCCTACCCTTCCTAGCCCTTCATATTCTTTTCTTGTTGCAAATACTTCTTTAGCCCTATAGTTTTTCCAATAATAATAATAATAATAGTAATAATAGTAATAATAGTAATAATAATAATAATAATAATAATACTTAAAAGCACAAAATTGCATTTTACTTCTTCTCCAAATATGGAATGTATCAGTTTGGGTGTGGTGGTATTCAGCAATTTTACATGGTTTTGGCAGTAGTGGTACTTAGCAGTGCTTGCAAGCAGCTTGGTATAAGGAAGACTCTGTATGAAGGCTATCCCACTGTGGTATTAGTAAGTAATTAGAATAAGTAACTTCTCACTGTGCAGGAGATGTTGTCTTCCTACACATGCTGGGGGAGGCACTGGGGGGAGAATAGAGACAAAAACGTTATTTTCATCTCACAGAAAAGCAAACAAGACAGGAATGTGATATAAGATGTCTGAAATGGGGCTTAGAAATCACAGTTAGAACTCATGAAATATAGGAAAAGGCATGATCCACACATGTACTCTTCCTCTGGGATCTCCAGCCAACAGCAGGAGTTGAAGATAGTCAGCATATTGCAGGATTTAGCTCAGACTCTGTTTTCCAGAAAAGTAAAGGGGATTGAATATGAAATTTGTAATACGTGTCTTACCACTGCAGGAAAAGTGCAGAGGACACTGCCATGCTATGTTAATTCCAGGTCTTGCAGGGAGTGCCAGCATCTTGACTGTAGAGGAAAAAACATAATTGTGAATAGGTGTAATACACAAAATCAGGAACAATTAGCAGCAGGGGCAAGATTTAATGGCTTTTTAAAGTTTCCATCACTCAGTCATAGGGAGGTTTTTCTAACATAAACCAGTGACAAATTGCTAGTGAGAACAGAGCCAAAGGAATGGTTCTGTTTCAACATCAGGAGTTAATCGACCCAGCATAATCACACACTTTGGTTATATTTATCTAATATAATTCACTGAGAAAAATTCTTGAGTCAAAATAGCAGGTTTCCAGAGTCAGTCAGGGAGCCTGTTAAATAAATACCATGTTTTGAGGGGAAATATATCAAAAGGAAGTTTCACGTTTCTCAAGCGAAAGGTCTGAGCCCTGGCATTTTTCTCTCTGCTGTTCAATTCCACAAACATCTGAAATAAGACAGTCTGCTTGCTACTGAAAACTCCCAATGAAACCTGAAACTGAGGGAATATCCTACAAGGAAAAGACTGGATGCTCTGGTGTGAAAAGCTGTCTTCAGCTTGAGGACAGCACAAAATCTGCCTCTTGCACTGGCC